ATATAGGGAAGTATCCTCTCACATACATAGTTGAAGCACATTTGAGAAGTTGGAAACCCAGTTCATGGAGCTAAACCACCGACAGAGCTTTGAAACCAAGCTAAGTTTAACTGTAAGAAGTAAACACAAAAATAACAAAAACAACCCTCTGAAAGCACCATAAAACCACATAAACAAGAGGGGGTCTGTTCCAAAATCTAGTGAGTTGCCTACATAGGCATTCTAAAGGTCATGTAACCTTATAAGTGACCAATTTAGAATGCTCTACCCAGACAGCAACTCTGCACAACACACAAATACAGTTCTTCTCTTACAGAGCGCTTACAAATATTGAGTGAAATATTTCATTTCAATTACACTAAGGTATTTTTTTTAAAATATTTATTTCACCTTGTCCAACATTGTCCAAGCATTATGGATTTCCTTCTTTACAAAGGATACATACAATGTTGCCTTAAGGCTGGAATACACTACACAACTTGAACAAAACTGAACAGATTTTAAAATACAAGGCATAATACACTTGCTGATGTTGTAAAAGGTTAAAGTAAAGGGAAAGAAAAAAAACCTGATCATCCTACACCAAAACGACTAAGGATCACATACTATGAATTTCAAGTTGTAGTTGAGTCTGAGTCACAAGTTGAAACCTGAGTCACGCTTTGGCCAACACTGCCACTGGTTCCTTCACAGAAATAGATGCATTTTTGATTTAAATGTTAAGCTTTCTTTAAAAACAAATACAATTTAATACAAGTAATATATTAGTCTTTATTAGGTCTTTAAAGGGGACATCGGATGCCCATTTTCCACAAGTTGGTATGATTCATTAGGGTCTTCATGAAATGTCTGTATCATACTTTGGTTAAAATTCCTCTTGCATTACATTGCTAGGAGACCTATGACAAATCAAAACGATGCTGTTCAAAATATTAAACATGTCTGATCTCCTCCAACTGGATGGAATCATAGTCTGAAACTAAAAATGAAATCAGAATGTGTGCGCATCACACACAACACTATTTTCTGTGAAATCTGTCAACTCTGTTTTCCCAAAATCTGCAGACTGGCTCTGACTTTTGGCAACAAGTGTCGACTCGTCCAGACTGCAAATCGGGGCAAAAATCTGGGCAAAAGCTGTGTGTGTAGTGTATTCCAGCCTTTATAATTTGCACAAAACGAGGTATCTTGAGCAACAACAGCCTTCACATTGTGAGCATACCTATGATACCGTAAAATGATCCCTATGTAGGCAGCAAACAACAGACAAAAAGTACGTTCCTGCAACAGAAGGGAATATGTTTGTAACAAACAGTTACTGATTAACTGAAATGCTTTCATCGCAGGCAGGCGTCTGGTAAAATACAGCGTATATGAAACGGCAGTCAGATGAAGAAATAACAGCCATTATGACAAGGAGCATTGAGCACAATTCACACATCAGTCACTGAGAAAGTCGCCATTCAGCAAAAGATATAATTAGCTGGAATACACAGTGGCAGTGTTGTATGAAATGGTCTGCTGAGGACCAGCGAGATCCCCGGGCTCTGGAACATGTTTTTTTTTTTATTAACTTTGTGTGTGAATGGTACGTGTACATGTTGAGGAACACACATTTTTGCATGTCTAACGAAGCAGCTTCAAAATAGTTTCAAAAAAGCTTCAAAAAGGATGCATTGATGTTTTTGTTTCTTAATCCATTCAAATGAGAGCACAAAGGTTTTACTGTGCTGTGTAAAAGCAGAAGGATATGAGTCTTTGTTTAATCGGTTGAGTAAATAAATACGTTAAGCAGAACAAAGACTGAGGGGGAACATTATCACACAGAATATGCATGTTCCTCTGCACCTGTGTGTGCGTCTGAGTGTTTAAAAGTGTTTACAATCCCTTATTATGCTGCTTCTGTAGAAATCTTTCTCTTGGAAAATGTAATGAAAAACATGAGCACTAGTAGTCAACCACATTATGTAGAAAATTTTTTTTCAAGGTGACATATTGCACTTTTTTATCATATTATTTTCTGCAAAACAGCCCAAATCAAATAGTCACAAGCAAAAAAAAAAATTAGGAGTAAAATTTATGGAATTCTGCAGAATGGATATAAAAGTGGTATAATAAAAAAAAGCGGTATAATTGTTAAACGTACAAATGCACAAAAAGGCAAGAAACTTTCAAGATCTCTGTTTATGATGGCCATTTAAAATTTGCATGTTAACACTTTATTATAGTATTATTTAAACACTATTATAGTATTTAATACTATTTTGAATTAGCTCTTATTTTTAAATTTAATTTTAGTTTAAGTTTTAGTAATTGTGCTTTTGTATTTTTTATTTCTATTTTGCTATTTCTATTTAGCTTTAATTTTTAAAATTTAGAAGTTTTAGCAATTTTAGTATTTCAACTTACATTTTTATTTCAGTTAGTTGCCAAGGCAAGGCATTTCTAATTACATTTTTTTGTTTAAGTTGTTCTTCTACTATTTATATTTTATCTTTGAGATTTATTTCAATTAAGGGAAACGAGTTATAGTCATAGTTGTAGTTTTTGTTAACTATAAAAACACTGGATTATAATTTATACATGAATTTATTCCACCCTCTCTGAACCTTAAAATTTATAACCATTTGCATTTCTATATAAAAATGACACTTACTATGATTGGCTAAACTCACTTACCAACCATTTGTTACTATATACATGACTTCTATGTCACATCAATGAAGATTACATATTCAACCAGTTTTGAAGCTTAGTTTTGGGTACTTAATGCTATTTTTGCATAAATGTTACATTAAACTCTTATTTCAAAAGTGCAAGGAAAATCCTGTTTCCCACGATATGCTGCCTTTAATTCTGGTGCCAAAATGGAGAAATGCAAGCATGCACTATGACTGAATGTGTGTTACATCTCTCATAGCCATAAAAATCAATCACTGTAGAGAGCTTAAAATGTAAAATGTATGTTTCTTGGCATGTTCACCCTTTCTTTAGTGGATTTACTTGCACATAGCATTATTTACTGACGTTATATGTCTTTTAGATGATTCCAAACATCCAGACCACAACCAGCGGTCACGCTGCATTGTCTCTAAAAATACAAAAACGCAGGATAAATCTCCTGGCTAATTAACACAAAAGCCTGATTTTGAAGAGCTAAAATTCCAGCTAATTTAAGAGGAAGACTGTCCAGCTCATATCATAGAAAGCCTCTTGGTATTTGATGGGAAAAACACTGTGTATCGGGTGACCGGCAAGAGCGGTAAATGGGAAAATGTGTAATTCCTCTGATTAGATTATATACCAAATTAAGAAGCTGTGGATGCCTTTAGCATCCTGCAGACCACTTCCAGGAAATATCAGAGGAAAGAAAATGCCTGAAAAATAACATGTCAGCTTTTTCTGAAATCCATCTGAAATGTCATCCCCATATTCCACTACTAGAACAAAACCATTAGGCGATGGAAAGAAAAATGAGGAGGAGAAAAAAAATAACCCCTTAACCCGCATTAAACAGAGAGCAAGCCAGACCTGTTTTGCCTATATTGTAGATGACATACTAGTTCCCATAAGTACACTGGATCATTCCTTGCCATCAAAAACACTCAAGCACAGCATGAGGCAAGCCATCACCTCTCTAAACATAATGTTCATCTTAATCCCACTTTAGCGACCACAAAATGCACAAAGAAGCATTTGCACAGCAATTTAAGACTTTAAAGGGGTCATATGATGTTGCTAAAAAGAACATTATTTTGTGTATTTGGTGTAATGAAATGTGTTTATGCGGTTTAAAGTTAAAAAAACACATTATTTTCAACATACTGTACATTATTGTTTGTCCTATATGCCCCGCCTTTCTGAAACGTCGATTTTTACAAAGCTCATCGGCCTGAAAAAGCGAGGTGTGCTGTGATTGGCCACCTATGGCGGCAGCAACAATACTACAGCGAGAATAAAAGTTACGTCTTCTTTCTTTGCGTGAACATTTGGGTGGCGTTATGCAAATCTTCCCACATCGTGACGTAGACATGTGGGGGTGTGTTAGAACGAGCCGTTTTAGGTAGGCGTGGTTGACTCTTAACTTTTATAAAGAATATCTCTTTGGATTTGAGACTTTAGTCTTTGCAACTTTACAGATCTTCTTTATGCACCAAGAGCTTGTAACACTCCAAAGAGAAAGGAAAAACTGAAATCGCATCATATGACCCCTTTAAAACAAGACCTCAGATGCCCTTTCTATGGCGGAGCTCTGAAATCTACATGCTATTGTTTCATACTGCTACTTTTTTACATTTTCAAATTGTTTTCAAGCTCCAAGCTTTCAAGGTCTAAAAACCACAATGAAAATCTGTGATTTAAAATGTCATTTAAACCTGTAAATAAACAAAAAGCTTGAGGATTCTGAAGAATGTAAAACAAAGAAATATGTGTGATTAACTGTATGATTAACTGAAATAAAACCAAAATGGCTTGGTGTGATTATAAAATTGCAAAGTCTGCAATTTAATTAAATGAATATAAACAATGCGTGTTTCAGAGTGAATCGTGACACTGTGATCTTTTATACACAAGCCGCTCATGATCCAGTGTTTTAGTATCTCAGTATCTTTTCAGTATAATAATAATTATTATTATTATGTACAGACATATTCATATAATCACAACATCTTTAGTCAAATCGTTTAGACCTACAAAAACAGCTAACCTGGAACTTTAAAAATAAATTATATATAAAATATTTATTTTGAAATCAAATGTGCAAATTTGTGATAGTCAGATGTCAGACGTTAGATGTTCTTGAAGATGCTCTTTAGATCATTCGCAAATCATGCTGGAGAACATGATCATCAGGTTTTACACATTGCGGATTTCAGAACATCATACATGTTATCGGTCAGAAATAATTATCACATTATATTTTTGGAATCCAAAATTTTTGGGATCAAAATCACTTAATTTTGACAGCACCTGGTAGTTTAGCTTACAGTTTAGGATACATTTCCTCAAAGTAGTCGATGTGTGGAGGCTGCAGAATATCCAGAGCTGACAGCACCTGTGGAGAAACAAAGACAGAGCCAGAGGTCAGCTTTGATGCCAGAGAATGTAGGCACCGACACCAGCCTTCATATGACATTCGTTTCCCAGGCACCAGCAGCCCAGGGACAACGAGAGCTAGCCAGGGTCCCGCTAATGGCACCATGGGGACGGCACGTAGATAGAGCGAGAGTTAGGTAACACTAACTGATTAAAAAAAAAAACAGTAGGGGATGGTGGGAAGCTCACATTGTCGTGCTTGAAGAAACAAAGCATCTTCAGCTCGCGGAAAACCCTCTTGCAGGACACGAGGTTTTGGAAGACATTGGGCATCTTTTTGAGGGCCACGCGTTTGCCGTCTCTGGGATCTGTCACTGACCTGAGGAGAAAAGATGAGAAATAAGCGATTAGGCAGGGTGATACACCAAGAAATATACAAAAAATAGACATTAGTGTTCAAAAGTTTGACAGTTTTTAAAGAAAGTCTCGTGCTCAATAAGGCTGCATTTATTTAATTAAAAATACAGTAAAAACAGTAATATTGTGAAATTTTATTACAATTTAAAATAACTGTTTTCTATTTTAATATATTTTAAAATGTAATTTATCCCCGTGATAGGAAAGCTGAATTTTTAGCAGCTATTACTCCAGTTTTGAGTGTCACATGATCCTTCAGAAAACATTTCTTCTTATTATTAATGTTTAAAACGGCTGTGCTTTGTAATATTTTTGTGGAAAACATGACAATTTTTTTGGGGATTCTATGATATGAAAGTTCAAAAGTACAACATTTATTTGAAATAAAAAGCTTTTTTAACATTATGAATGTCTATACTGTCACTTTTGATCGATTTAATGCATCCTTGCACAATATATTATCAATTTCTTTAATGTAAAATTTAAAATAAACTTTCTGACCCCAAACTTTTGAACAGTAGTGTGCATACGGTTGTGTTTTTCAATTGATCTACATACATTTTTGATGACACAAATTAATCACTGAATGACCGTTATGAATTAGTTCACTAAAACAGACAGTTTGAAGTGATTCATAATAATTAAAAGACTGAATCTAACTCTAAAACTAATACTTGCAAGTCACGATCGAAGGAGGGATCTTGAAATTAGTCACATGACGTGGAAACTTAAAGATTCAAATAAAAAGTGCATTAAAATAACTGATATTCAGTTACTGTTGTGTCATTTTATTTTTTGTCAGCAAAAACTTTTCAAATAAATTGTGAGTATTTGATATATCGGCCAGAACTAATCTGCAATTTAATCATATATTCTGATGAATTTTGACAAAAATAAGAAGAGACGAGCAAGCAAGAGATAATTTGTTGAAAAAAAAGGCAAGCGCTGAAGGGCCCTCAGTAATGGCTTTGAATGTTGCCGGTTTGTGAACATCTTTTTTCGTCACTGTGCTATGAGCAGCTCGATGTGACCTTACTGAGAGATGCCAATTGGTATAAGTGCCTCTCCTTCTTCCCTGAACAGTAACACATTTTCAACAGCAATGTTAAACACATTACACAAATGCAGCTATCATTTCCCCAGCATTCCGTGTCATTTCAACTTGTCGCTCGCTGTCCAATGCTATATCTGTTTGCCTGTTCATTTTTATGCATTGACTGTACTGTATAGGAAAAGACATTTTCTCTCTTGAATTGATAATGTCCATGATTATGAAATACAGCTTGTGTGTATTTTTGCAAACTATAAAGTGCACAATAAGCCTCAAACCAATTCACAGACGTGTCATATCAAATGTATGCATAAGATTTCCACAACACAGAATGCTTTAGCTGTTTTTGTCGCATAATAATAGTCTCAAATGTGACTAGTAAACCTCAGAGGTGTGATCAATGTGCACAAGTAAGTGTGTCCCTGTACACCTCACCTAAAACACAATGGAACATTCAGACTGAAAAACAATTCATGCTCACGCAAACACACACACACACACAAAATAGCGTCAACTTTTTAGGTTTTACAGTGCAAAACACGCTAATTAAAGCATGACTGAAAAATACTAATATCCACTACTGTTTAACGTTTACAAATGTTTAGCGTTGGTAAGATTTTTTAATGTTTAAAAAAAAGTATTTTATAATCACCAAGGCTGCATTTAGGCTATTTGATCAAAAAAAGCAACATTGTGAAATATTGTTACAATTTTAAACTAATATTTTAATATTAACTAGATATGTACATTTTCTAAAGAGAAAATATGAGTGGTGCTTGCCATGGCAAAACTCGGCACTGTGCAGTTACTAGGGTCTTTTTTTATCATGTTTTAACAATTAGATGGGAATTTTAGCATGTTTTAACACTTAGCTAATCGCTATTAGCATGTAGCTATTCACTGCTAGAATGAGTAGCATGATGGAAGTCCTGTTTGCTAGCATGAGTCAAAAGAGCAAACCCCCCATGTTTCTATGACACTTCTATCCAAAGAAATCCCTTTTGATCTGTTTGAATGGAAGTCTATTGGGTGGTTGCTAGGGTGTGGCTATGAAGATTAAAGGTCATTACTTATTGGTTACTTGAAAAGATAAGTCAAATGAGTGTGAGAGAGAGTTAGACAGAGAGAGAGAGAGAAGGGTGTGTGTGTGTGTGTGTGTGTGTGTGTGTGTGGGAGAGAATTGGGAAATATCTGGCTGCAATAGTTGAGTGATGAATTATGGCGCAGCTGTTACAAAGTTAGCTTTATAACATCTATGCTAGCTTGACTGTAAAGCACTTGAATAGAGGCAGTTTATAAGGACTGTAAATGATTAGTTTCAAGCTTTGAATATGTGTTTTTGAGTCATGTGTGTGGGAGAGAAAGTGACAGCTGAGATTCAAATTCATAAACATTCTGCCATTGTAAGTCTATGGGACATTTTTGCCTTCTTTTTCGTCTGCTGTGTGAATATCGTAGGTCCGATTACTTAGAATAGACAAAGCACACCTCTCCTCAATGAGCCGGTCGATTTGACACCTCATTCATGGGTCTACGACAAACCGTGCGGGACGAGTTACATGCGAAGTTTTGTCCAGAAGAAAAATAATAAGTATGCAAGAGAACAATAGTGATGCTTTGCCTTATAGGCAAGCACCACTAATAATATAATATTTTAAAATAATAATATATTTTAAATTGTTATTTATTCCTATGAAGCCATTACTTTAGTCTTCAGTGTGTCACATGTTCCTTCAGAAATCATTCTAATATGCTGATTTGCTGCTCAAGAACATTCGTATTATTCTTATTGTCAATACTGAAAATACTGGGCTATTTAATATTTTTGTGGAAACCATACTTTATTTCTCAGAATTGTTTGAGAAATAGGAAGATCAAAAGAACAGCATTTATTTGAAATAGAAATCTCTTGTAACATTAGAAATGTCTGCAGAATACAGTATTCAATTCTTAAAAAAAAGCTTTTGAACAGTAATGTACATATAATCAACAATATGTTATATCACACAGAGTGCTTGATATGTTTACTGGAGCACTGTATGTGGTGGAAAAGTAAGACAAAGTGGAACAGAGTGGTGACAGATATATATTAGAGATTAAAAAATAAATAAGGTGTTTATTTAGGGTATGAGGAAACATTGATCGGGAAAATGAAAGATTAACTGAGAAAAAGGTCTCTTGGGTCGGCACCATGACACACAAACACTCTCGCACACACACACACACACACACACACACACACACACACACACACATGCCTGGTCACGGCATGTGATTCACAAGCTGGATTAGACAACAGCACGAGGGAGAGGGGGAGGAGAGAGAGAAAGAGAGAGATATTTCTTTGATAAAAAGGCAAACACTACAGCACTGCCATCTCTCCTCAGTATCAAAACAAATGCTACAGCAGGAAATGGAGACAAGTTTCTTGGAAAACAGAGCAATAAAGAAAGACTGTCTTGTATAGATATACGCACTGAATGAAAATGTGACAGACAACGCAATTGATTTGCACAGGAAGTTATCCAGGGATAACAAGAATGGAGTTTGTGTGCACATTCCAATCAGTCCGTCACCGCAACAGTGACTCAACCAATGGTGTAGCTTTAGGGGCGGGACTATCTATGTGTTTGAAACCTGTTTGAAAACAATCAGTTTTGCAATTCAGTTTGGTGATGCTAGTGGCAACACTTCAGATTTATTGTTTCACATATAAAAATATGGTGCTAGAATTTAATATTAATCATATCTGTGATGTAAATCATTGGGTTAAAAAATTCTTAGTCCTGTTATCTTTCATCTCTTTCTTAGCTTAGTTTCACAGACGTGCACGAGAGGGAATCATCTAATTTAACTCATTAAAGTTTTGTCAGCAGCCTTGCCTCAAAATCCCTCCTTCCACCATTTCCAGGTGCCAGAAAAATAATGACAACACGTGGCCATGTGAGCCCGACTGACGCCTGGACCCGAGCTCCCCGAGCACACTTCAGGACTCACACACAGAAGCTACTTCCTGGAGATAGCGGAGCGAAACGTCTACAGTAGAAAGATATGCCTCACTCTCACTCTCTATCGCTCCATCTATTTCTCACTCTCTTTCCCCTCCGCTTTTAATCACTGGCTATTCAAAGATGAAAAGCCTTTCTGAAAGGGAAAAAGATTATCTGAGTACTTCAAACATGGCTTTTCTCTCTCTAAGAGCACATGAACATGCCTTCAGAAACAAAAATGGCTCTTTTTAACATCTTGCTTGACGTTCTGAAAAGTAATGTAGAGGTTGATTTAAAGGCTAGCTGACTACAAGTGGACAAACCCTTTGGGTCTAAAGAGCGGTTAGATCCATCTGAAACTACAAAATGGCTCTCTCTCACACAAAATAATTCTTGAGTCTATTTTTTTTTTGGCTGTGTTGCACTTTTAAAGCAGCATATCAAGTTCAAAATAATTCAATGTTTAAATCATTTTTCGAGATTGTTGTGTTCTGTTCCATTTTGCTGTGCTCCGTCTAGATGTTTCTGAATGCACAAATTAGCCATGCAATGCAGTTAGCGTGCACATAACATGTCTTTCAGTCAGTAAGTTAAGCCTATGGGCAAACCTTATGTAATGTAATTAATTTTCATGAACAAAGGCTTTGCTTTGTTTTCACCTTTGCATAAATTATGGCATACAGCAAAAAAAAAAAAGTGAGGTAGTTTAAGAGCTCCTCACATAAGATATATCGTTATTCCTTTATCAAAATGTTTACTAACAATATTAAAAACCATTACATTTATATAACATTTAAAGAACATTATTAAAAGAAAAACACTAAAATACTTCAAATGTAAGGGTTTGAAAGTGGTATATTTACATATACATTACATATACATTTAATACACTATATATATGTATATATATATATATGAATA